TCCTCCATTGTGTGTTCTTGGCACCTTTGTCAAATATCAGGTGGCTGAAATTGCGTGTACTCAGGTTTGGATCATCAATTATGTTCCATTGATCTATGTGTCTGTTTTGGAGCCAGTACCATGCTGTTTTTATGACTATAGCTCTGTAATACAGATTGAAATCTGGTATAGTAATCCCTCCAGCGTTTCTCTTAGTGCTCAGGGTTGCTTTGGCTATCCGGGACCTTTTGTGCTTCCATATGAATTTAAGGATTTTTTTTTCTAATTCTGTGAAGTATGTCATGGGGATTTTGATTGGGATTGCATTGACTCTATATATTGCTTTTGGTAGGATGGTCATTTTCACAGTATTAATTCTTCCAATCCATGAGCATGGGAGGTCCTTCCATCTTCTGATGTCTTCCTCAATCATTATAGAGATCTTTGGTGTCTTTGGTCAGATTTTATTCAAGATTTTTTTTTTTTTTGCAGGAATTGTGAATGAGAGCATTTCCCTGTACTCTTTCTCCAATTGCTTGTTATTGGTACATAGAGCCCCTGCCTAGAATCCCCAGTGAGGGGCTGGGGTGTGGCTCAGTGGTAGAGCCCCTGCCTAGAGAACCCCAGTGAGGGGCTGGGGTGTGGCTCAGTGGTACAGCACTTGCTTAGCATGCACATGCCACTGTATTTGATCCCTAGCACTGACAAAAATACAAAAACAAAACACAAAAAACCCCACCTATTTATAGCAATCCAACCACAGAATAAACTGAGCCTTGCCTTGGATTTTGAGGGACTTCTTATGATCATACCACCCACAACAACCAGATCTCCTGTGGGACTTCAGTCATCCTGTCCTCATGTCCCAGCTGCCTTCGGTTTCCATTCTGTACTACAATCCAGGCAAGGGGACAGTTCAGCTCCCAGATCTTCTAGCTGATAAGATGGAAGGTGCTTAATGGAAGCAAGACATAATGTAACCCTAGCACTTACAGACAGAAAGATCAAATGCCCAAGGTCATCCTCAGCTCACAAGAAGTTCAAGGGTAGCCTGTTTGACTTGAGACCCTGTATAAAAACAAACAAAAAACAGAAAGAAAGAGCTGCTGGTGAGATATCTCAGTGGTTAAGAGCACTTCTTTTGGTTTGGTTTGGTTTGGTTTTTCTGAGACAGGGCCTCACTATGTAGCCCTGGCTGGCCTGGAACTCACAGAGGTCCCCCTGCCTCTGCTTCCCGAGTGCTGAGATTAAAGGTATGTGCCATCATGCCCAGCCCACTGGCTACTCTTGCAGAGGACCCGAGTTCAGTTCCCAGCACCCACATGGTGGCTAACAACCATCCATAACTCTACTTCCAGGTGATCCTACGCCCTCTTCTGGTCTCCACAGGCATTACATGACACAGATGCATGGGGTGCACTTATATAAATGCAGGCAATCCACTCATACACATAAAATAAAAATAATAAATAAGTTATTTAAGAAAAAAGACACGGGAGCCAGGAATGAGGGTACTGGCCTCTAATCCCAGCACTCAGGGGACTAAGGCTGCTTAGTCCTCATAGCCTGGCTGAAGGAATACCTGGTCCTCTAGAATCAGGTCACAAGATGCTTTGCCCCAGGAGAGACCACAGGCAGGATCTTAGTGTGACAGGAGCTTGTAAGATGCAAACCCTCCTTGTAGCCAGGTGGAGGGTAAGTCTGAATCTCACAAGTTGAGTGTGAGAAAGCCCTTGGCTCTCAGGTGCCAGAGCTGGTCCCTGCATATCACCTGGCATGCTGTGGGGCATCAGGTCCTCACCATCTTAGTGGTTAGGGCTGAATCTTCGCTTTTTAAAAAGAATTATTTTATAAGTGTTATGCCTGCATGTGTGTAAGTGCACATGTGTGGAGCAATGCCCGAGGAGGTCAGAAGAAGGCGTTGGATCCCCTGAAGCTTGAGTTACAGATGGTTGTTAGCCACCACATTGGTGTTGGGATTTGAACCCAGGTCTTCTGCAAGAGCAGCCAGTGCTCTTAACTGCTGAGCCATCTCTCCATTCTGAGTCCTCAATTTTTATCTTCCTACAGATTTCCAAGTCCTGGTGCCCAACAGAGCTGGTGGTGAACGCCGAGCGTAAAGAGTTCCCACTTCCTATCCTTGGGAAGAAGTACAATTTTCTTAACGGGGAAGGCTTCAGTTACGAAGCCAACCACGTCCGCGAGTGCCTGCGTAAGGGTGAGGCATGACGGGGTCTCTTGGGTTTCCTGAGCCTCAAGCAGCTATTTAAAACTACATCTCCCAGTATGCCACGGGGTGCTCCCCCCCTCGCTCTCGCTCGCTCGCGCTCTCTCTCTCTCTCTCTCTCTCTCTCTCTCTCTCTCTCTCGCTCTCTCTCTTGCTTTCTCTCTCTCCATCCACCCACGCCTATGACACGGGGACTTCTGGGAATTATAGTTCTTTTGGTATCCAGCCATATGACTGCTCTCTCTCTTCCCAGGCCTGAAGGAAAGTCCTCTGGTTCCTCTGGCAGAGAGTGAGCTCTTGGCTGAAATCCTTGAGGAGGCAAGGAAGGCCATTGGAGTCAGCTTCCCTCAGGACAAATGCTGATGGCTCTTCTCCAGTAGACATGGCCATGGACCCATCTTTCCCTGCCCAGCCCTTATTAGCTTGGCCCTTACTGCTTTGGGAGTAATTTTTACAAAACAGCCTTTTTCATGTTGGAGATCACTCCCTTTCTGGATCCTGACAAGCCACCCTGTTTCTGTCCACCCGCTTTATCAATGCCTGTCCTCAGATTTGCCTGTGTTTGAGGGTGCTCCTTTGGGAAATGTCACAAGCCCAAAGTGGCCTGGGAGGAACCGGGAGGAATGATGACTAACATCTCCAGGGCCACTGGTGTCAGGCCAGCTCTACCTTTCTCCATCCTCCCCCTGGTTTCCTTGTTCGGGACTCTGAGTAAGGGTGGGTTTGCTTGCTGGAGTCAGGAGTCTGTTGTGACTGGCCACAGGCCACAGGGAAGTATGTAGGTGGCAGGTCCCTGACAGGTCTCTGCTGCCCTCTTTATCTCTAGTGTCTTTATAGAAAGACACTAGCTAGTATTGCATCCCCTCTGGCAATGGTTCAGTGCAGTGCTGTCTTTCCTTTAACAAAATACAAAACTTCTTGCTTCAGAGACAACTAAGAGCACCGGCTGCTCTTGCAGAAGACCTGAGTTCAGTTCCCAGCACCCAGTAGGGGCTCACAACCTCCTGTAACTCCAGCTGCAGGGCATCTGACTCCCTCTTCTGGCATGTACATTCTCACACAGACACACACATGATGAATTTTCCAACATTATGATGGTAAATATTCAATATGTATTGCTGAAAACTGTACTTTGAATTTATTATTTATTTATTTACTTATTTATTTTTGGTCTTTTTGAGACAGGGTCTCCCTGTAGCCCCAGCTGTCCTGGAACTCACTGTGTAGACCAGGCTGGCCTTGAACTCACAGAGATCTACCTGCCTCTGCCTCCCAAGTGCTGGGATTAAAGGCATGCGCCACCACACCCGGCTTTGAATTTATTTTTATTTTTATTTTTATTCTATTTTATGTGTATGAGTGTGTTGCCTGCATGTGTGCAAATGCACCCATGTTGTGGAGAGCCCAAGGAGGCCAGTAGAGTTCGGTGTCCGATACCCTGGAACTGAAGTTAACAGACAGTTGTTAGACGTCGTGTGGGTGCTGGGAATCAAACCTGGGTCCTCTGCAAGAGCAGTCAGTGCTCTTAATGGCTGATCCAGCTCTCTAGCCCCATCACTGTACTTTTGACTTCCAATATTTTCAGCTTACGATAGGTTTTCCAATTATAACTCTGTGATAAATCAAGGGACATTAGTCCCTTTGGCTGGGTAATTAATTTTACATAGCATTCACTTATTGTGTACAGTTCAGGATGCTGTTAAGCCCAAGCTCAAACTGCTAGTAGTTTTGGTCTCTGGTAAGGGCTCACTCTGTTTCAAAGATGGTGCCATGGAGCAGTAGATGTAGCTCAGTTGGTAAAGTACTTGCCTAGCATTTATCCTCTTGTGGCAAATTCAAGGTCACCCATGGCTACAAAGTGAGACCCTGTCTCCCAAAAAAAGCAACACCCAAAGGGTGGTGTAGATATTTCATCAGGTAGAGGTGGTTGCTGTCAATCCTGAGGATCCAAGTTTGATTCCTGGGGCTCACATAGTGGAAGGCAAGAACCAACTTCCACAAGTTTTTGTCAGACCTCCATGGATGTAGGTACACACACACACCACATTTAAAACTGGACCAGGAGACTGGAGAGATGGCTCAGCAGTTAAGAGCACTGGCTGCTCTTGCAGAGGATTCAGGTTCAGTTCCCAGCACCTACATGGCAGGGAACAACTATCCATAACTCCATTCCAGGGGATCCAATGCCCTCTTCTGACCTCCATGGGCACTACATGACATAGCCACAGTAACATACATGTAGGAAATACACTCATATACATAAAATAAAAAATAAATTGTAGTGCAAAAAAAATAAAAAAATAAGTAAAGTAAAATTTTAAAAATATGTTTTTTTAAAAAATGGACCAATGGTCTGGAGAGGTGGCTCAATGGTTAAGAGCACTAACTGCTCTTGCAGAGGACCTGGGTTTTAGCACCCACAACCATAACTCCAGTTTCAGGGGATCCAATACCCTCTTCTGATCACAACATGGGTGCACTTACATGCAGGCAATACAGTCATACACATATAATAAATTATTTTCTTTTAAAAATGGACCAAGAGCCAGGCATGGTGGCGCATGCCTTTAATCCCAGCACTCAGGAGGCAGAGGCAGGCAGATCTCTGTGAGTTCTAGGCCAGCCTGGTCTAAGTAGCCAAGTCCAGGCCAGCTGGAGCTACAGGGAGACTCTGTCTCAAAAAAGACCAGAAAAAGAACCAGGAGGAAGGTTCATTTGGTGAAGTGTTTGCCTTACCAGCAACCCTGAGTTGGAGTCCGATAACTCATGAATAAAAGCCGGGCCTGGTGGCACTGACCTGTAACCCCATCACTGGGGAAGTGGAGACTGGACTACCCCTGGGGGCTTGCTGGCCAGCCAGTCTAGCAGAGTCAGTGAGAGACCCTGTCTCCAAAGACATGGTGAGGATGACACGATGACTCTGCATGTAAAGGCACCTGCCACCAAGCCTGATGAGTGTGATCCCCAGGATCCACATGGTGGAGAGAAGCAATTTTTTCAAGTTGTCCTCCAACTTCCATATGTACACCATGGTACATGTACACACACACAATAAATATGGTTTTTCTTTTTCATTTTGAGACAGGGTCTCATTTTAGAGCCCTGGCTGGCCTAGAACTCACTATGTAGACCACGTTGGTCTTGATGTCACAGAGATCTGCCTGCCTCTGCCTCCTGTACTGGGATTAAGGGCATGTGCCATCATGCCTGGCCTCATAAATGTAATTTTTTTAATTAAAGAAAAACTTGTGCTATCCCCATCACATTAAAACAACCACAAACTAAAACAAAAAATAAAAACCAGGTGGATGGACATTGAGGATCAATGCATGAGATGGACCTCTGTCTGCCATACGCTTGTCTGCACACACACAAAACCTCAATAGCTTCATTGTTTAGCACCTCACACAGTTCAGGTGATCACATGTCCCCAGGTGCCGTAGCTGCTTCTGACTCAGCATCTTTCACTAGGATGCATCAGGACACCAGCCAGGGCTTCAGTGACCAGAGTTCTGCCATGGGATCTGCTTTCAGTGTGGCCCCATCGCATGGCTAGTGAATCGGGTTCCTGTCAATGTGTGTCCCCAGAGAGAATGACTGGATGTCCTAACATGAATGTCAGAGACAGCAAGTTAGAAGACTTGACTCTTCTAAACTGACTGTGATACTCCCAGTGTTATGCGGGTGGTCACACTGGTTTGACCGTCCTTAACTCCAGTTCCATGGGATCCCACACTCTCCTCTGGCCTACAAGGGCACCAGGCACACACTTGGTGCACTTTCACACAAGCAGGCAAAACACTCATACACATTAAGTACAAAATACAGTATTTAAAAAGAAGCATCAGACTCTAAGTCCTTGGACACTGAGTGTATTAGTTGCATTCTTATTGCTGTGACATACTACATAACAAAAAGTAGCTTAAAGGAAGAATTTGTTTAAGCTCACAGTTCAAGGGGATACAGTCCATCCAGCTGGGGGAAGCTGCTGGTCAGATTACATCTGCGGTCAAGAAGCAGAGCCTGGACACAAAGTGGGACTGGGTTATAAAACCAGAAGGTCCACACCAGGGACCTACTTCCTCCCCCAAGGCTCTGCTTCATAAAGGTTCCACACCCTTCCAGACAGCACCACCAGCTATGAAACAACTCTTCAAACACATGAACTTAGGATGGACATTTCACACTGAAATCAGATAAGGAGTAACGGCTTAAAATTTTTCTTCCCAATTATTGGGAGCTGGAGAGATGGTTCAGTGGTTAAGAGCACTGGGTTTTTTTGGTTTGGTTTGGTTTGGTTTGGTTGGGTTTTTTTTGGACTTTTGAGACAGGGTCTCCCTGTAGCCCCAGCTGTCCTGGAACTCACTGTGTAGACCAGTCTGTGGTTTTGTTTTTTATCTTTTTGAGACAGGGTCTCCCTGTAGCCCCAGTTGGTCTGACACTTCCTACGTAGACCAGGCTGGCCTTGAACTCACAGAGATCCACCTGCCTCTGCCTCCTAAGTGCTGGGACTAAAGGGGTGTGCCACCACGCCCAGCTAAGAGTGCCTTGCAGAGGACCCAGGTTCAGTTTTCAGCACCCACATGGGGGCCAACAACCATCCATAACTCCAGTTTCAGAGGGATCCAATACCCTCTTCTGACCTCCATGGGCATTGCATGACATGAGTACACTTACATACATGCAGGCAATACACTTATACACATATAAAAAGATTTGCTTACTGGGGCTAAAGAGATGGCTCAGTGGTTAAGAGCATGGTCTGCTCTTTCAAAGGACCCAAGTTCAGTTCCCAGGACCCACATGGTGGGTCACAATTGTCTGTAGCTCCAGTTCCAGCTCCAGGGAATACAACACTTTCTGGCCTCCAATGACCACTGGATTCTCAGGGTACATATACTATACATATACCCAAGTCCACACAGGTCCACATAAAATAAAATAATTTTATAAAAAGATTTACTTATTTTTATGTATATGAGGTTTGTTTTCATGAACGTGTATGTACCATGTGTGTGCCTGTTGTCCAAAGAGGCCAGAAGACTTGGATGACATTGGTTCTCTTGGAAGTGAAGTTATAGACCACTGTGAGCCACCCCATCTGGAACTTGGATCTTCTGAGAGAGTAGTAAGTGCTCCTAACTGCTGAGCCATCTCATCATCTCCTTTGTTTTTCTGAGACAGGATCTCCCTGTATCCCCAATTGGCCTAGAACTTGCTATGTAGACCAGGCTGGCATCAATCTCACAGAGATCCAGCTGCCTCTGCCCCCTGAGTGCTGTTAATTTTTTAAATGAATTTTTTTATGGTTTAGTTATTTTTATGTGTATGTGTGTATTGCCTGCATGTAGGTAAGTGCACCCATGTCATGCAATGCCTGCGGAGGTCAGAAGAGGCTGTAGGGTCCCCTGAAACTGGAGTTACGGACAGTTGTTAGCTGCCATGTGGGTACTGGGATTTGAACCGGGTCTTCTGCAAGAACAGTCCGTGTTCCTAACCACTGAGCCACCTCTCCAGCCCCTAAATGAATTTATTTTTATTTTATGTGTATAAACATTTTGCCTGCATGTATGTAAGTGCACCACAACCAATAATAGCAGAGGCCAGAAGAGGGCGTCAGATATGCTGAAATTGGTGTCACAGATTGTTATTAGCCAAAATAATGGGACCAGGTCTAACTATGCAGCCCTGGCTAGCCTAGCATTTGATATGTAGGTAGGCCAAGTTGACCTTGAACTCACAGAGATCCACCTCCCTCTGCCTCATAAGTGCTGGGATTAAAAGTGTTTGCCACCATCGCCAGGTGTTTGTTTACTTTTTTATGTGTATGAGTGTATTGCCTGCATGCATACATGTGCACCCATGTTGTATTGTGCAATGCCCACAGAAATCAGAAGAGAGTGTCGGATCCCCTGGAACTGGAGTTATGAAACATTGTTAGCCACCATGTGGATGCTGGGAATCTAACCAGGGTCCTCTGCAAGATTAGGCAGTGCTCTTAACCGCTGAGTCATCTCTCCAGACCCCATGTGTTTGTGTTTGTTTTTTGAGGTAAGGTAGGGTAGGGTGATCTAAATCTCCCTATGTAACTGAGGATAACCTTGAACTTCTGATCCTGCTGCCGCCACAA